TATTTCAAATCTTATATATAAGTAATTTTATATTATATTATATCTAACAAATTGCTGATAGCTTTATATTATATTATGCTGAGCAAATTGCTATTATTAATTTTGAACTTTATATCATATTGTGCTAAACAAATCTCTATATTAGAATTATTGAAATTGAATTTTAAGTATTTTAATTTTTGTTATTTGAATTTTAATTATTAATAAATATTTCTCACTTGTAAGAAGAACAAAGTGAAAGAGTTTTTATTATTATTATTACTAATAATATTATCTTAGCTCTGAAAATCTTTATATAAGTACAAAAAATTAACTTTTAAATTATTACTTTATTCTCTTATATACTCTCTTCTTTTGATATTTACTTTTTCACAACTCTTTTATATTATTATTTCTTTTTACATAAATACAATTTTTATAGAAATTGATATAGGTTTTAAATATTCTTTCTTTTTCTTTTAATATTTTTATTAATCTATTACTTTTTTAATCTAGATTCAAATTTGTGAGCTAATTTAATAATTAGTAAACAAACTTGTAATAATATTAAACAAATATTATATAGTTTAATAATTTCTTATAATATTTTGTTATATTAAATTATTTATAAATATAACAATATCAAATTAAGACTTAAATAACATTTCTATAGATTTTTCAAAATTACAAAAAGTGAACTAAATAATTATATGAATATAGAAATTAAAATTTAAATATGATATAGTTTTTAAAATATCTGATTTTAAGTTAGTACTACTAATAAATGAATCTTCAAGATTCATGAAGCTTGTATCTGATATTTATAACTTCTCTCTATTTTAAGTTTTAAATACTAGCATCAAGATTTAATTTATTAATTATATACTTTTTAATGATATTAACAATTGCTATTGATAAATAATTTTTTATTGCTTCTTGTTTAACCAAAATTCAAATGGTCTCCAAATATTTGACTTGATTACTTTCTTTTAGAATATATATATGATTGGCAAATTATTATAGTATTTGATTTGAATTATCTCGAAGAAAACTAAATATATAATTTTGATTTTTGCATAACAAAGTCCAGATAGTCAAATCATTAATTTTCTGTATTTCTCATTTGGGCTATCTTCATTTTGTCACATGCTTGAGCTTTAGTGTTTTGTAAACATACACATAAAGATCTTTTAGGAATTATCATCGATGAGCTTATAGGAATTAAATTAAGTTCATATATTGAAATCAAGGATTACTAATCATTATTAAATTCTTTATTTGGAATCTTGAATGCATTTTATATATTAAAAAGAGATCCATTTTTTATCTAGAGTAAGACAAAAAGTATCCATTGAAAATAATCAAGATGTTGATAATGGTGATGATAAGAAGCAATAATGGTAAAGATAGTAAAAAAAGATCGTAGAGGTGATATTACGGACACAGTAATGGAGTGATGATAATAGATGCAATGATGGAGTGATGCAGTGGTGAAGTGGTGATAATAATAATTAATAGTTCTTGGAGATGGTGTTGTAAAAAAAAGTATTAATATAATTCCCATAAAACTAAATATCACAACTTAAAAATTGAGAGAATGCATTCAGTTGGATGATTGGTTTTAGTGGGGGTACTTCAATCAGGTCAGTTTTACCAGGAGTTGACAGGCTCTGCCTAACACACATGATAGGGTATCCTATCAACTAATGCTCCAACCGGGTTGGGTCCAATCTGTGACCCGGAACGAGCATTTCGGGTCGGGTCGAATTTGGGTCAAACCTGAACTGAAAATATTGGAGTCAGCCTAAAAAACGTTATTTCTCGTTCAATATTAATCAGAATCAAACGAAAATTTATGGGTATATACACAATTATATTCAGAACAACTCTACATAGACACAAAATACAAGTGTCTTAGTAAAAGTAAAAGTTATTAACGAAAAACTATTTTACGATTTTTGGATCAAACCCGATCTGAATCCAAACCGACCCGATCCGAACAGAACTTTACTATCAACCTCGAAACTTAGCTGATTATCTGCTTTTGAAAATGAGGTCTGAACACTCGCATTCGGTCTGAAATGCTCGTTATTTACCGGAGAAACACCATACACCAGATTCTCCAACAAATCCGCCTTATTTTAAAGTCGACAAAAGAAAAAAGTCTCATATTATTATTATTATACCACAATAAACTTATTTTTGTTTCGTAATTTAGCCGCAGACAATGAATGTCTCGTAATTTAACCACAGTTACGTACGTACAAGCGTACAGAAGTACAGACATACGAACACAGATTCAAACACGTGCCCTATCATATCACAGATCACTGAACTATGTGGCGCCAATCGTGGCTGGGCACTACTCCGCTTTAACGGTACCCCTTTTCTAGAACAAAGAACGATATGTGCGTAATAAGCTGATAAGCATAACGATAACGATAACGATAACGTGAAATCAGGTTTACGAAATGACCCGTTCCAGAAATTTATTTATAACACTGGATGTTCTTATAATGCACCATTTTCAGAAACTTTCGCGGAACTTTTCTATATAGAATGTAAGTTCATTCCATTCACAAGCGTAACGGTAATACTGTATCTGAAATACATATCAGCGGATTTGTATACAGTACCGGTATGTACGTAGTTAGAATTGATAACCCCTGGCACATGTAATCAGTCGAATAGTCATCTAGTGATGCGCTTCAATCTATGATAATGAGCTGGTATTGTTTGAAAGATTACTTTTAGTTTACTTATTTTATAATTGAAAAAAATTATATTCTGTTAAAAGAATATTTCATTATCTAGTTAGGTTATTATATAGCAAATCATACATATTCTGAACCCCTACTACTTTATACAAAACTACCAAACACAGTTTTATGTATAAAATTTTCCAAGACGTTTATCTTATGCGACCAATATTAGCATACACACAATCACCGGAAATACAAAATACCTGACGGATAGTACAAACAAGTTTAGGTAAAAAACCAAAAAATTACTATATAATGCTCTATAACTTATGAGCAGCAAAAACCCATTTTTGAAATAAAATGGACAACAATGTCAAACTAAAGTCATAATAGAGACAAATAATTAAATTGCAATTATATTATTTATTTAATAACAAAAATAACTTGCTTGTATGACATTCTTATTTTGGTTTTCAATTGGAAGTTCTGTAAAATAAAAGCGAAAAAACATCAACGATTAAAAATAATACAACCTATTGAAAACTTGTGTAATTTTGCATTATGTAACTTTAAACAAAAGAATGAAAGATTCATTTGAATACAAAAAAGTAAATTTATATAATCAAAAGGCGGAACTCACTTTAAAACAATTACATATTATGGTCGGAAATGAAGATTATCTAATATCGTATGAACTAAAAAAAAATGATGATTGTTCATGTTATATATAGAACCGATGCAGACTCGAAAATTCGATTCGATTCCCTGAGTACTTTTAAACCGAACCGAATCGAAATTTTTGCACGGTTTCGATTCCAAACTAATAAAGATAAATAAATTTCTTCGCACTTTATTAACGGTTAGCCAACAATTGTTGATAATTTTGAATTATTCCTAAAAAAAGTGTGAGTGAAGCTTCCTGATTTAACTATTGCTGTGTTGCTTCATTTTTGTATTCCTTAAGGATTTTATTCAGACGTTGTTTTTTTAAGTGCTTGTAAAAGTTAGAGTTGCTACCATCGGCACACATAACATATAATACACAATAGTTGCATTTTGCCATGCATGTCACAGAATCTCAACTGCAACCACACATTACTTCTTGTTTTCTTGCCCCTGTCAGATGTTCCCTGCTGATATTCTCGTATAGTTCGATATCTGCATCCTCCAAATTCTGGTTATGGGATTTTTATGAAAGTGTCATTTATTTGGAAACTGATTTTTGGTTTGCAAGTAATCTTTCAGCAAATTGAAACTTTAATTCAATAATATTTTTTTGATAATTTGAATATCCGATTCATTTCGGTTCCGATTCTGTTCCAAGCTATATTAGAACCGAATCGTTCAGATTTATTCTACGAAAAGTAATAACCGAACCAGAACCGCCCTAGATCCAAATCGTTTAGATCTGGATATAATCAGAACTGTTCGGAACCTTAGTACTAGGTTACATGCATTCAGATCAATCTTTAAGATAATCTATATTTCGAACCCATACCCTAACCCTTTTCCAATACACCATAGTAGTTTCCTCGTTATTATTGTATTTCATTCTTTTATTTGTTATCGATAAATGCATGTACCGTAAATAGCCGTAGAAAAGATCCTATTATACCCATTTGTTAAGATGTTATGGAATGTAAGAGATCCGGGTCTTTTAGGGGGTAATTATGGTCAAACAGATAGTTTGTTAGTGTAATTCTGGCAAAATCTATTATTCTATGTAAATTACTCCCTTTCCGTACAATGTATCACCAGGGTATAATACAAGTTTCTCGCTAGTGGGATGTAACAGACCCCAGGTCTCTTATATGGTCAGTACCATATCTGAGAAATCGATTATCGTTATTGATCACCAAATGGCGGTTGATACATTCGGTATTAGTAATGTCGAAATTCATTTGAAGATTAACGTTGTTTTTGTTATTGATTCTATATACGTATATGAACCGAGACATTCTACATTTTTTGTATAAACTAAAGACGAATTCAAGTCAATTAATGGCAAACAAAATTTTGGTCATTCATCGTACAAATATTTTTCACTGAGTATACGTATATATGAAAATGGATTACATATGATAGAGCAGTTTATTTGAGAGTAGCAGCTTAATAATCTTATTGCATAACATTATTATCGTTCTTGTGAAAAACTATCATATTGAAATAAGTTTAGAAATTGTTGTTTTTGGCATATCGAAGGAGGAACCATATTTCGGTAAACTAATTTGACTTGTAAGCAATCAGTGAAATACCGATTTAAAGCTGATTCTAGTAAATTGACTTTCATCCAAGTTTGGGAGTATTCATTCAACAAGATCAATTAGTGAAATTGTTCATCATCCATGAAGTATGATACATTTGACCAGTGGTTTTATTATGAGCACTGGCCTTCAGTTCCATTTTTCCAAAAGTCAGCGAAAATTCAATTGGTCGATTTATCCCTAAATAAGTGTCTGGTAAATCTTCAATCGAAAAAAAAAACGCGTAGATTAATAATCAAAAATGAGAAATGAAATAATCAAATAATCCGATATAATTCTCACCTATTTGTAATTTACCCAGGAAACACACATCCAGTTCATCGCAATATCTTGGCGAATTCTCAGAATAATAAACCTTGAAACGTGCTGATGTTTGATCTGAGTAGACTGGTTTAAATTCACCTGAAAATTCTTTGTCAACTTTTACTTGTGTACGTCGTTCCGCTAATTTTTGGAAACGATGCACTCGTCCTTCAAATGTTCTGTTTAACAAATCAAAAAAAACAATTATAACAATAATCTCATTGATGGAAATTAATATTTATATTTAGAATACCTTCGCTCAACTGGATCTTCATATGGATCCCATTCAACAAGGACTTCGATTCCATAGCTCCATTTCAATATACGTGTTTCCACTGCACCCATATTTAATCCATACGCAACAGCTCCTTTTACAACAGCACCCATTGGTTGTCGAGGTTCAGCAATTATGGGAACTTTATTGGCGAAAGCTTTTTTAATTCTATTTCGCAAGTAAACAGATTCCGAAAACCCACCCACAAGGAACATTGCTGAAGGAGATTTAACAGACTCTGCTGCTTTCAATTGATTTGAGATTAACTTAATCACTTTAGCGACAACAGGATCGAACATTAATTTCACCGACTCAAAATCCAGTTCAATTAACCAATCTTCTTGTTCCATTTTCTCTTTATTTTCTCCAGTGACATATTTCATCAGCGACGGACAATAATGTTCTAAGTCCAGATCGATTGGTTTGAATGTGTCTTGGTTTCCGTCAAATAAATATTTCACTCGTGGACAAAAGAATTTCTGAACAAGATACTGCAGTTGGCCGTAATGATCCGTTTTCACTTTTTCCAATGCTGAGAATCCGATTTTTTTGCCAAGATATTTGAGAAATTCTAGATCGATAAAAGTTGCACCACACAAGTCTCCTGTTCGTTCAGTTATTTCCCCAAGTTTATTTTCATCATTGATAGTACGTGTCGTTAAATCCACAGTGCCGCCACCACAATCGACTACCAAGAATGAATCTGATTTTATTACAGTATATAGTAAAAGTTAATTTTTCATTTTTGTTATAATAACCAAGCATAGTATTTTGGTAATAAAATAACCTCCAATATTTAATTTATGTTCCTCTACTACGTTCAAACAATGCATGGCTGCTGCCTCAGCTATTAAAAAAAATGTATGTTGATAATTAAAAATTCGAAATAAATTAAATTCAAAAACAGCAAAAATAAACACTTACGTTCACTTGTAAATTCCAATTTATTGGAATCTACCGTTTCAATGATACCAGCTGTATGAGCGCATTCACGCATTATCACCTTTGTATTTTCTTTCCTTCAATTACAAAGATTTTCTTTTCGTATTATTAATTTTTACGAATCGCTATGTGGTCATTACTTTCAAAATACAAACCATTCTGCAGGAATTGTCATAACATATAAAATCTGTGAACTTTGCATTCCTGGCCAAGTTTTCTCCAGCGTCTCTGTAATAAGCTAAAAAAAAAAAAGGATAAAAAAGATTCGTGTTATTCCATGTAAAAAAATCAAACATGTAACAGATGTCTTGCCTACCTTATTCATACAGTTTAAGTAATCGCATATAGGTTTCTTATAGTCCATACCGGCAGGTAAAAAAGGTTTATTTGACATTTCGGTCAAATGTAATTTAAAAAGTTCCACCGTATATATTTTATTGGCACCCGATTTTTTCTTTTTCTCGGGCGTTTGAACAAGCGCAGGTTCACCCCACGCTGCAACACTTAGACTACCGGTTTCGGGATCCTGTTCGTATCTTAGCGCGGTGTTTGTTTTTGGAAGTCCTTCACGACCTGGCCTTTTTGTTATTTGAATAAATTAATCGTATTGGTATTCGATATATATATGCACATATACATATTGATAATTTTTACCATCGTCCATTTGTCTCTATTTCAGGATTTGCCTTGTGTGCATAAGCAAAACCACCTAATTTTTCAAATCTAATTATTAAGTTTTATTCATGCGAGTCGAAGGCGACTAATCGAAGCTAAAACTTACTGTACGTGGTACCAAAGTCTAAGCAAAGAAGACGAATAGAAAAAAACACAAATAGTTAGATTATAAATTGCCAAATTCAAATTAGATTTATTTTCGATACTTGCCAATTGCGACAACAGACCGAATGTCTTCGATATCCATTTATCGTATCGGAATTATTGTTTTGTGTTTTACGTACTAATTGTGATATGCTATGAATTCGAAGAATTAAAAAAAGATTCTTCTTTAATTCACAGCAAAAAAGAGTGCTTTAAACAAAAAAACGGTTTTCGGAGTGATTGTCATTGTTTCCTGTAATAGGAAATTATATACTGTACGTACTAACAGTGACATCCAGGAGCCAACAATGACAAAATGACAAAAAGAAGGAGCAAAAATGAATCTTAAAAGTTACCGTTACACACACACGAACATTCAATACATGTATTTTTGCGCAGTTCACATCAATACACGAACTTTCTAGGAAATTCCCCCGTTAATGGTGTAACGCCAAACTTTCAGGATCCTGAAAATCTGAAGTCTCCAGAATAAATAACCCCAAATTCCATTGCCGGGATTTTCCGACGAGTACTAACTTTAAACCGCAACAATTGCCAAAATAATTTATCACCTTGATTGGTCGTTAACGTTAATAATAAAAATCGTAAACTAACTTGTGAGGTTGATCGGTTGTTTTAGATTACGGTGCAAACAGATTTGCATCCAAATATTTTACGTATTCACGTTCACAAAAATTGCATTGCTGAATACGTAACGGTAACTTGTTTTGTACAGTATTACGTAGTATTAATTTAATGAGCAGTTAGAATTTTTTGGAGGTCACTTATATCTGTATATATCAAATTTCAGTGATGACATAATATTGGATGGTTTTAATTATTTACATTATATAAAGATAATTCAGTTTATTTGGTGCTTTACAGTTTTTATGTGACTTTTGATCGATGTAATATATTAAATAGAACCAGTTCTAAATCCAATAGATTGGACCCACTGAACTGGACTGTCTGATTTAAAGTTGATTCAGTGAACACACAAATGAAAATTCCATTATTTCCTCTATAATTTCAAAATTTCTAATAAATATTCGCGTTCATACAGTGGCGAAAGCAAGTCACACCACTCAAGTATATGGATGGCAAATTTTGGTATGATTATGTTTTTTAACATTATTTATTTACCAATATTTTAAATTGTTGAACAAAAAAAAAGAAAAAATAACGTGGAAAAGTTGTCAAACAAAAAAAAGAGGACTTGACTAAATTTATTTTTGAAAAATTAACTTAGTTGACCAATAAAATTACTAAATAATTATTATTATAGCCAATTTTGATTGACTTTCAAGATGGAAAATTGAGAATTTTTAAATGTTATAACTCATGATTCAAATAAAATTCAAAATTTCTTATTGGTCAAATTGTAACCAGATCAAATAAATATTATTTGACCAAGTTAGTTTTTTTATACAATCTTTTCTCATTAAACTACAAGACTTGGCATGACAAAGGTAAAATAGATGGAACCATTATAGATGAAAAATACATAATAAATACAGAAAGATGCAATCTAATACTCATAATTATAACAATTATACTAATTGTTAAGAATGAAATTATTGCAATTAGTGTTTAAATAATTATAGTAAAAGTATTAATTATCAAGAAATGAGATTATTACTTTTCTTTTTCTTTGTAATCTCAATAATATGTATGAATCAAAACAAAAAGAGCAGGCTCATTATCTGTAATATAATTATTAATTCTAAGTAATATATTCAATTTATCTATTTAAATTTTTTTATAAAAGATAGTAATTATATTAAATCAAAATGAAAGTACATTTTTGATTGTGAACCATTTTTTGCTTTTGAAGATAATTGTATGAAGAAGCTTGTGTTAAATTATATAGGTATATCATTCATATTTGCAATATAACTTTGAGAAAAGTCTTAAAATAATGTAAATTATTATATTAAAATAATGCAAATTATTATAAAGCACAAAATTAATAGGTATTTTTTTGTGTTTTTCAATATGAAATACTTTAAAATATTTGCTAATCATGTTGAAAATGTCTTATAACTGTGTACTTTGTTGTTTCGTGGAATTATTAATAATTAATAGCGAGTTGACCTCAAACCCGACCCGAACTGAGCTTTACTAGTGGTACTTGCTTTCCAAATACACATTTTTTCTCTTAATAAAAAAGTGCATAAAAAACGTAATGTAAGATACATAAGCAATACACGTTGTATTTTTACTTGTAAAACCACAAACAAAGAACAAAAGATATTGTCACATTAATATATACCCAGCAATCATTTACTCTCCAGAGAAAGGTTCATGTTATACGATTTGCTATTTTATCAAGTAACATAAGACTGCTACAAAATTTGCTCTGAACATAGATAAAGCAAAAAATTTAACAACTGGTTAGCCTTTAATAAACCGGAATAAAACTCTCGGTTAACTGGTGAAATCCATTGGTTTATTAAGTTTTGATGCATACAAATAAAATCCTTTACAATAAACTTTCGATGATAGAAAAATAAAAATATTTATAATAAGATTGAATCACATAAACAAAAGTGAACCGATACTTTCGGTTCGGGTCGGATTCGGATCGGGTTTGATCCGAAAATCGTAAAATAGTTTTCGTTATCACTTTTATTTTTACTAAGACACTTGTATTTTGTGTCTAAGTAGAGTTTTTCGGAATGTAATTGTGTATACACAAATTTTTGTTTAATTTCAATTAGTGATTCGGGCTAAATTATTTTTTTTATATAAATTTTTATAGATTCTAGTAGTCCTAAATTAGTTTAACTTATTAATAATTTAGACTAAATTAGTCTAAATTAGTTTAACTTATTTAATAATTTAGCCTAATTTAATCTATATAATAATTTAGCCTTTTAATTCAGTCTTTTAAGTCCTAAATTCCTTAATTGTCCTAAACTATTTAGCCCGGATCACTGATTTCTATTAATATTGAACGAGAAATAACGATTTTTAGGCTGACCCGAAATATTCGGGTTGGGTTTGACCCCAATCAGACCCGACATGAAATGTGCGTTCCGGGTCGGGTCACGGATGGGACCCGACCCGGTTGGAGCACTAACCACTAGTTATTATATTGGTAGCATCACAGAAAAGGAAAAGTATAAAAGATAATACAAATACTCTTATATTCATGAAACATTAGATTTTCTGGTAATTAATAATTTTTTAATGCAACTTAAAGAATCACGATTTAATGAGTCAAATATAATATAATCTGAAAATTAAAGTTCTATTTTATAAAGTATTTTCAAATGAATTTTATCATTATCAAAATTTATTTCTGCACCACTTGAAATACTTCATAATCTGCAATCTCAAAATACTTTAATCCATAAGAACTCAACAGGCCATGGTCATATGAGCTTTTATGACAGTAATTTTTAGAGGCGTAACCATGCAGAACTAAATCGCTACCATTGCCACCTCCAAAAACTGGACCATAATCTGCATAACATCCCACACTCCGTCCTTGTTTATGTTTGCTTAGAACTCCATTGGTAGCTTGAATGTCATCGGAATTAAATTTAAATAAAAAACTATTTAAAGAGAAGTAATCTTTGTTAAGTGGATTCCATTCAAATGGATTATAACCACCAATGATCTTTTCCTCGTCTTTTACGTGAATGGCAACCACTGTTGGACCTTTTTTATCACACAAACGATGAAAGTCGGTATTCTTGTATCCATCACGACTACCTCGTAGTAACAGTTTCAATTCAATTGATTTGTTTCTTTGATTATCATCTTGTTCTTTAATCCAGTCAATTATTTTAGATGCCTGATTCTG